AATAGCACTATGTAATATATATATATATATATTACATAGTGCTATTTTCTGATAAAAGTTAAGCAAGACTCTGAACTAAACCATTCACCAGTTTTAAGATTCCCATCAGAAAAGAAAGGAATCAGAAAAACAAAATTTATTTATGATAAATCAATTCACAAATGTATTTAAAAATAAACATACAGAAATTTACTCAAAACATACTTCTAAGTTTGCTTTTATATTCATTTGACATTGTCTGGTTTATTGATTCCACCATATTTCTAACTATAATGTCATTCTCAAGCAGTCTGTGGTGATTTACTTGTTACTGTCTGTACAAGTGCTCCATTTTATCACAATTTATGTTTTTAAAACTCTTTCCATCTTATGAGTACTAACAACCACATTCATGACCAAGAATCAAGAGTTAGAATTAAAAGTTAGCTAATACATGTTCACATAGTAAAAGTAAAGTAAATGGTAATTGGTTAATTCTCTTGATCCTTGGTTGTAAATATAGCTGTAAGATGTCCTTTTCAATCATGCCTATCTTGGATCTGGCCAGGCTTACAATGGAAAGAGCCCAATATTTATCTGTATAAAGTTTCTAGAGTTCCTTACACAGATTCAATCAGGATCCACCAGATACTTTTACTTGCCTTGGCCATCCAGCCAACAAATGATATTTTGTAATAGCATTGCCAACATACAACATGATATAAATTCAAATTATCTAACAATGTTACAAAACATAAATTTATTTAGTGCTACTTTCAAATGATTTAAAGTTTCTTCTTAAAGCTCATGAAAAGTGTAATGGTACACATACTGGTACATTTTCACCAAAAAACAGCACCGCATAAATATGAATACATATATATACATTTACAAAAATTAATATTTTAGTCAGTGGCGTAGCGTGGGTGTCAGCCACCTGGGGCAAAGGAAAATTTCACTGTCCCCTTATTTAGGTATCTCAATTTAAAAGACTAAAATTCAGTTTCATCACAGAATAAGTAATGAAAAATTCCATGCTAGTGTTGCCACCTTTTTAAAATCACTGACCTGGACGGCAGGTGAGGTTTGTTCAAACAGAAGTTCCTGACACATGCATAATGTCATTTTGTAATACGAAGAATAATGTGCAGTGCATGCCAGTTCTAAATCAGGTACAGTTAGGGACTAGGGAGACTTGGGTAGGAGTAACGTAAGTAACCTGGATGACATAGTTCTATTGGNCGCTTTGTTTTGTATAGCACAAATTCACATAACATGGTACTTTTGGAACATATCTACCAAGTTATACAAGGAATACCTGTGTATGTGTGTGTGTGTGTGTGTGCATATAATTTTTGAACTAAAAAAATACCAATGCATCTTAACTTCTTCAAGTTGCATCATTCGATTAAATTGTTCCAAATGAAAATCTTATTTTTCTATAGAATTTAAATAAAAAATAAAAAATGGGAATTTCCATTTGAAAATACAAAGTTGATGTTCATTTCAGCAATAGAAATGCCACCTGTGAGGAAACCAATAGTGCCATCTTGTTTTACTTTTCAAGATATTACTGGATGACTAATTAAAATGGGACCCCTTGTATAATCTACAGCATTTCTAAAATTTAACAATAATTAATTAGGATATAAAGATTTGTTGCTTATTATTAGATCTAAGAATAATACCAAAATCAGACCCTTAATTAAGACACCTAAAAAGCTGCAAAAGTAATTTCATTACTAATGTTTTCAGCATTTTTAAAGATTATCTTCAGGTAAGTTGCAATAATGGAATAATGCAAAAAATTAAGCATATAATAAAATGAAAACCATACACACTTTTATATATATAAGTATAACAAATTTTTGAATAAAGTACTAACAGCTTGCATTGTCTGTCTAGGAGGTGAAAGAAATATATTTTGTACTTGTAACAAAGCTACTATGGTAGCTGCTTCTTCAGAGCAACCAAATTCAGCTGTAAATAACATTTAAAGCAAGATATTAAACTTTTCTATTCTAGGAACATGAACATATGCTCTTACTAACCACTTTATTAAAACATTCATTTTATGACTACCTTAATTATTTTTTTTTATTATTGTTACTATTAGTATTTTTGGTCCTTGTGCTTGCTCTTATAATCCATTTGAAAGTCCAAATATGATTTAATGAATGAAATGAAATTCAAACTTCTTTGTTGTATATGCATTTTATATGCTTGTATAGAATAAATGTCCAAAAAATGCTGAAATTTGAATATTCATTAAAAATGACAATAATCTGAAGATGGAATGATGAATGTTCTGAAAATCTTAACTTTTTCATTTTTCTGACTTTTTCAAAAAATGGATGTTTTGATAAAATGATAAATAAAATTTTTCTATAATTATGTGTTTTTTTGTAATAACAGCAATAATAATATTGCTATCTTAAAATATAATTAATAAAGTTAAATAATGAGGTTTTATATTAAGTAATATATTGATATTTTGAATTATGAAAGAATATTTTCTATGCAGATAAGATTTATCATTATACCTGATACTAAAAGCATTTTGGCAAACATTGGATGTAATGGAAATTCTGCCATTCTCACACCTAAAGGATTTGTTAACTTCCCATCATCATCTAGAGCTAAATATTTATATAAGCATGAAATAAGTTTTAAAACAAAAGTATTTGATTTTAATTTAAAAATTTTATTTTAATGTTGTATATTTTTTAATGTGAATTTTTTGTTGTTTGCCCTCATGAACAGTTAATTTACTCAGACAATATTCTTCTAATTCTGTTCTTTAAATTATTAACAATATAAGTTGTCATAAATCACATTAAATAAATAGTACAACACAATACTCATTACTTTTAAATAAAAATTTCTTACCTCCAAGTGCATATAACAATTCTAATGCATTTATTACATTTTTAGATGCTGGTGGCTAAATCATTTATTAAAGAAAATTTTATTAAAACTATGTAATGTCTCTTTAAAATCTTTTTCTAGTTTAGTATACTTACAGCAGGAAAATTGAATCTTAAAATGTTATCAATGCCCAAAGCTTTTAATTGAAGAAGAATTGATGTCAAACTTGTACGTTGAATTTCGGGTCTTGTATTTTTTTCAAGTTTATGAAANAACAACTATTGAAACCAATCCAGATAGTACAGAAATCTAGATGAACAACAGGATCTGGATAAATGGGGTTTCACTTATATATATACACATATACATATACACAGGATGTCCATCAGTCTGGCCTTCTTAGAAGTTATGTTAATGCTTATTCTATTATAGATAAAGCATGATGCTGAGTAAATAGAAATGAATTCAACTTATTTTGACAATGAGGACACTCAGTCAGCATTAAGCTGCTAAAAGTTTAGCAGGCTGTGTCCAAACTTTCCACCAATCACAACATACAGAAGTCTGGATGTAGCCTTTAAAACACTTCAACTACTTCATGCTGACTGAGGGTTCTCATCATCAAAATAACTTGAATTTGTTCCACCTTACTTAGCACCATGCTTCACCTGTAAAAGAATAAACAAACATCAAAATAAATTCTAAGCGGCCAGACATATGGGATACTCTGTATATTAAATATTTGTATATTATTATTATTATTATTATTAATTATATGTATAATAAATATTCAAACAAAATTTTAATATAGGAAAACTAAATTATATTGAAATATTTCATATTATAACAATGTAAATTCTATTAGGAAACATAGTCCTACAAAAACCAATACAGCATAAATGTATGAACAATCATATTTCTATATTTTTACAAAATATAAGATGTTAAAATGACAACACAATAGTCAAATCAAGCTAAAATTATTATTATTATGTTGGGTTTAGTGGGTTATACTCGGTTGACACCGGTGGCTGTGTACTATGCTGGACCAGAGTCAAGGCATAGCAACCAAAACAAAACTAAACTTAAATAAGTGTGTCAGTGCCTTTATTCAGGAATTTCTTGTATGACTTGTACTATATTAAGCAAGGAAAAGAATTAATGAATAACTTAGTATTTTCTAATAAATTTGATTATTTTAAATAATGGCAATATTAATAAAAACATAAATATTTATAACTATTTCTTGTATTTGCTTCATGTCTGGTTGTTGTCTGCTAGTTCATTAATAGCCATCAACATCCATTATGATACTAGACTTATTAAACACAATACGAAATATCACCTAATTAGAAAATCAACATTTATTGGTTTATATTATCTGGGAATGCATTTCGGATCTTCTTGTCCCTCATCAGCCTACTCTTTGATGATGACTACCTTATCCATTTTTGAACAGAACTTTTTAAAAGTTGACAATTGTGAAGTAAGCTCTCAGTCTTTCATTATAATAAATCTAGATCTGAGCCCAATTCAGATCCTTATAATTTATCATGAGTAGTATCAGTACTCAACTGATTATCCATGTGGGCTGATTTCTTTATGGATCAGATCTGCTTATAATGAGTGTAACTAAGACTAGCCATATAGTTTTAATATGCTGATGCAACACACTAACTGACAATCAATCAATGAGAAAAAATATCAATGTCTTTAAATAAAAAAAATGAAAGCAAGATTTAATACAAATTAAAAATAAAAAATGTAAATATATTTTTATACTTAAAACTGATACATTTTTATTCCATATATTAGAAATTCTAATGTAATTGCATAACAATTCATTTTTTACAGTGATGTTTTACTGAAAGAAAATTTGGCAATTTTTTTTGGATTAAAACAAAAAAAAATAATAAATATTCAACTAGACAATAATACCAGAAATTTCTTTAAATGTTTTAATTAAGCACTTAGAATAATGTTTCAATGATAACTTATTTCATGCCATATTTTATGAATTAAATAAATAATTAAATTGTACAATATGCAATACTATGCAATTCATAATATTTGAAATTCTAAATGCTTATGTAATATTTATAATCTATAATGCCCTCTGTTCAGCTGAAGCTTGTGATACAGGTACAACAATAAGTGAATCTGTATTAGTATAAGGATTGTAGCAGCGTAATTTTACAAATCCACAATCTATTACTGTAATTAAAGAATATTAACTAATTTAAATTAAAAATCAGCTTTAAAAATATTTTTATAAAGAAAACATATTTGATCATATATTGTTATAATGAATATTTTGAATTAAGTTATACTGTAATTATAAAAAGATTTATGAATTTTACTTGTAATATTTTTGACTATTATAGGAAAAACATAAATTTATTAGAACAGAAAATCAATAACAACAGCATTACCAAATACAATTCCATTTATTGTAAGTGATGCTTCTGCAATATTTGTAGCAACCACTATCTTTCTAACATTATTTGGAGTAGACTGAAAAACTTTCATCTGAAAAGAATGCAATATATTTCAGACATATTTAAAAATTTTAAATTGTGATAATTATGATTTACATTAAAGTCAAACCTTGTTTATCTAGATTAAACAGGACCAAATCTGATCCAGATTAATGAAAATCCAGATAAACTGAAATGAGTAATGTATTGAAGTTAAAGTCTAAAATTTCATGCTGAAAATACTCTCTAATGATTGAAAATAAACTTGCATGCTTTACTTATTATTATTCAGAACATATGAGAAGTGTGTATTTTTATTCTTGCAAATGCGAGATTGTTACATAGATACTGTATGTATATATTACAATTGTAAATAATATTTCAATAATCTCACAAAAGTTGAAAAAAATTCATAATTTCACCACAAAATGTGTAAAGATTTAAAAAGAAACAACTATTGAAACCAATCCAGATAGTACAGAAATCTAGATGAACAACAGGATCTGGATAAATGGGGTTTCACTTATATATATACACATATACATGTACACAGGATGTCCATCAGTCTGGCCTTCTTAGAAGTTATGTTAATGCTTATTCTATTATAGATAAAGCATGATGCTGAGTAAATAGAAATGAATTCAACTTATTTTGACAATGAGGACACTCAGTCAGCATTAAGCTGCTAAAAGTTTAGCAGGCTGTGTCCAAACTTTCCACCAATCACAACATACAGAAGTCTGGATGTAGCCTTTAAAACACTTCAACTACTTCATGCTGACTGAGGGTTCTCATCATCAAAATAACTTGAATTTGTTCCACCTTACTTAGCACCATGCTTCACCTGTAAAAGAATAAACAAACATCAAAATAAATTCTAAGCGGCCAGACATATGGGATACTCTGTATATTAAATATTTGTATATTATTATTATTATTATTATTAATTATATGTATAATAAATATTCAAACAAAATTTTAATATAGGAAAACTAAATTATATTGAAATATTTCATATTATAACAATGTAAATTCTATTAGGAAACATAGTCCTACAAAAACCAATACAGCATAAATGTATGAACAATCATATTTCTATATTTTTACAAAATATAAGATGTTAAAATGACAACACAATAGTCAAATCAAGCCAAAATTATTATTATTATGTTGGGTTTAGTGGGTTATACTCGGTTGACACCGGTGGCTGTGTACTATGCTGGACCAGAGTCAAGGCATAGCAACCAAAACAAAACTAAACTTAAATAAGTGTGTCAGTGCCTTTATTCAGGAATTTCTTGTATGACTTGTACTATATTAAGCAAGGAAAAGAATTAATGAATAACTTAGTATTTTCTAATAAATTTGATTATTTTAAATAATGGCAATATTAATAAAAACATAAATATTTATAACTATTTCTTGTATTTGCTTCATGTCTGGTTGTTGTCTGCTAGTTCATTAATAGCCATCAACATCCATTATGATACTAGACTTATTAAACACAATACGAAATATCACCTAATTAGAAAATCAACATTTATTGGTTTATATTATCTGGGAATGCATTTCGGATCTTCTTGTCCCTCATCAGCCTACTCTTTGATGATGACTACCTTATCCATTTTTGAACAGAACTTTTTAAAAGTTGACAATTGTGAAGTAAGCTCTCAGTCTTTCATTATAATAAATCTAGATCTGAGCCCAATTCAGATCCTTATAATTTATCATGAGTAGTATCAGTACTCAACTGATTATCCATGTGGGCTGATTTCTTTATGGATCAGATCTGCTTATAATGAGTGTAACTAAGACTAGCCATATAGTTTTAATATGCTGATGCAACACACTAACTGACAATCAATCAATGAGAAAAAATATCAATGTCTTTAAATAAAAAAAATGAAAGCAAGATTTAATACAAATTAAAAATAAAAAATGTAAATATATTTTTATACTTAAAACTGATACATTTTTATTCCATATATTAGAAATTCTAATGTAATTGCATAACAATTCATTTTTTACAGTGATGTTTTACTGAAAGAAAATTTGGCAATTTTTTTTGGATTAAAACAAAAAAAAATAAAAAATATTCAACTAGACAATAATACCAGAAATTTCTTTAAATGTTTTAATTAAGCACTTAGAATAATGTTTCAATGATAACTTATTTCATGCCATATTTTATGAATTAAATAAATAATTAAATTGTACAATATGCAATACTATGCAATTCATAATATTTGAAATTCTAAATGCTTATGTAATATTTATAATCTATAATACTGAATATTTTAAAATAGAACTTTTTATCAAATATTAAATTTGTATTCATATCAAATGTAGAATCATTATCATATTATATGGTGATAATTCTATATTTGATATGAATGCATATTTAATCTAAAAGCAATCATCACTAACAACTGTATATTAATTTAAATGTATTCAATAATCTGAATATTATACTTGTAAATTTTGTTTCTTATTTTAATTTTTTATTTAAAAAATTTAAGGAAGATAAGAAAACAAAATAATTTTTTGAATGGATATTAGTTATTCAATTATAATAAATTAAAAGAATACTGATTACAAAACTTTTTGTATTGAATTTGAAATTTATTTCAGGCATGTTATTTTTGGTTTTTGATAAGGATTTTTAAATTAATTGCACATATATTACCTGATCTGAAGCAGGAAGAGCTCCATACATAGGTAAAACAAATATTTTATTATGATTTTGTTTTTGTTTGATTTCTTTAGCATGTTCACTATAAAAAAAAATAATTTTTACAAGGAGGCAAAATTTAATTTTAAGAAAATATTCTTAAATAAAAATTACATTAATAAAGTAACTGCACTTTCTACTTCTTCTTGTCCTGTTAAAAATATTAAGATATCACCTTTTTCTTCTGAATAATGAATTTTCATTGCTGTATCAACAGATGCTTTCACATAATCTGGTGTAGGTTCCTTAAGATAATAAACATCAACAGGAAATTCACGACCCTCTATTGATAATATGACAGAGGTATCTTCAATCCTAATGGAATTAATCATAAAAATAAAATTGAAAGGATATATCTATTTTAAATATAATAATTTTCTAAAAATCCAAACTTTTACATACTGTAGTTCATTTTTTAAAATCATCAACTCCATTAATTTTAATAATTGAAATGACCAGAACAACATTAATGTATAAAATTTAGAATAAATAACAAACAAATTTACATTATGTCCTTTCATAGACCTCATTAATGTTATTAATTTTGTTTTTACATTTAAAATATTTTTATCATAGCTTCATTAGTCACTGTAATATGCATAGTCTATTTTTTATTTATTGTACGTACTGGATAAATAGAATATGATAAAAAACACACCTTTAACAATCCAGCAAATAAAATTTACTAAAAATAAAAACGTTTTCGATCCTTTTAACTGCTCTTTCTCAGTTACCATAAAATAGAATGTGAAAATAGAACATAAATTTAAAAATAAGTGAAAATGAGAATTCTGAAATAAATACATAAATAACTGAAAATATAGTTGTGAGTAATAAAATAAATAATTACAGAAATAAAATAAATAACAAATAAATGTCTCTTAATAAAAACACCGCCATGCAGTAACCAATGTGTCTGTCTCTCTATGGTTGATGCAACCGGTTCTTTTATGTGCTTTAAAAATCTCCAATCTTTCAAGATATTTCATCATGTGTATATTTGTTGTTGGTTTGATAATTGATGCTTGCTCCCATTGGACATGAATGTCCTGGTTCTGTGCATAAGCTGATAGCGTGGTGTTATCAAGTTTCTTATCAATTGTATATTTATGCTCCTTGAGCTGTTGTAAGTTGTGCATTGTGGCACCCAGATAGACTAGTTTAGATTCGAAACATCTTTTTATAAAGATTAATTTTATTAAGAGACATTTTCACTTGCAGAACAACAAGGATACCCAAGGGAAATGATAGAGAAATTAATCACAACCCTTCAACCAATAACCTCATTGGACCAAAAACAAAGGGTGATTTTAAATTATATCCCATTTTTAAGGGTAATACATAAGAAGGCAGCCAAGGCTAATAATCTCCAAGTAGTATATTGACACAACTCTACAGTTCAGAATTTTAAGGAACGATAAAAAACAATATAACCATAATTCGGCCATGGGAATCTACTCCATCCCATTAAACGACCAATGTTTCAAATCTAAACTAGTCTATGTGGGTGACACGACACGCAACTTACAACAGCTCAAGGAGAATAACTATACAATTGATAAGAAGCTTGATAACACCATGCTATCAGCATATGCACGGCAACAGGACATTCATGTCCAATGGGAGCAAGCATCAATTATCAAACTAACAACAAATATACACTCAATGAAATATCTTGAAAGATTGGAGATTTTTAAAGCACATAAAAGAACCGGTTGCATCAATCATAGAGATGCAGACACATGCTACCGCATGGTGGTCTTTTTATGAAGATTAATTTTATTAAGAGACATTTATTTGTTATTTATTTTATTGTCTACAACTACATTTTCGGTTATTTATAAATTTATTTTGGAATTCTCATTTTAATTTATTTTTAAATTTACATTCTATTTTATGGTAACTGAGGAAGATTGGTTAAAACGATAGAAAACGTTTCTATTTTAGTAAATTTTATTTGCTGGATTGTTAAAGGTGTGTTCTTTTTATCCTATTTTTATTTTCATTTAATAAAGAAAATAAGACAAAATATAGATGACTACAGAGATATCCAGAATTACATAAGAAAAAATTAATAAAGACAAGCAATAAAATTAAAACCATATTAAAAATTTAATTATTTTAACTTAAGCAATGTTGTATGTATCTGCTAGTAATAAATAAAATATAATTAATAATGTAAAATAACACTCAAAGCCTCTTTATTCTAGCAAGTATCCTGTACTTGTTCATAGTGTAATATTCACTAGTGCTCTAATACTACAGACTACCAAAATTTCATTGATAAAATATATAGGTCCTCCTATTGTAAATGAAAATTAGTCATTGACCATCTCCAAAATGACAGAATGACTTTTAGAAAGTTTGGTTAGCTCATAATGTCTTCAAATACACAAAGAACAGACAAACAAATTTTCTTTATGTATGTAGATTATTAATTACAACTTCAAACTAACATTCTCTGTCCATATGCATTCTTTGAGTTCTTATATTCAATTTTATATAATTTGTGAATGAAGATAAGGATGAGGATTATTATTTTTGGAAATATTAGATGTTAAATGATTATAATTCCATTAAAAAAAAAAGATTTGTTTTTAACTTTAAATTTCACAGATTAATATAAATATTTACATATCTACTGTTTGTGTTTAATTATTCATTTATATTATGATATATTAGTTTAGTGTTAATCTACTAGGTTTTGTTAACTCCAGAAATCAATGTATCAGTTTCAATTTTAAATACAAATTAAGAAAAAGTACCAAGTTTTTCTTCATATTAATATACAAATATACAGTGTTTAATTATAAACTTTCTATAACCATCTACGAAGCTTTTATTTGAAAGTCTCATTTCTAGAATGAAAATAAGTAAGTAATTATTCATATTTCATTCTAAAGTTTATGTAGAAGATCATTCTTTTATTTTTTGCAATATAAACTATACCAATATAAATAGTACACAAATGTATATATTTAGGTACATTTATATTATCTTTGTCACAATCAATGTTATATGTTTACATCCGAAATGAATTATTATTTCATTAAATTTAATTATTTAAAATGTTTTACTTAGAAAAACTATATTTAATATAATTAAGGACATTTTAGGCACATATTCTAGTAGTAATAAATAACTCACCCATTAATTGTATTATTTTTAAAGTTAAAAAATTCTTGTAACATTTCTGCTTCCAATGTTGCTGAAGATATTATCAGACATAAATCCGATCGTTTTTTTAATATTTTCTTTAACAATCCAAGAATAATGTCACTATACATGGTGCGTTCATGAATTTCATCTAACATTAAAACAGAATATGATCTGAGAAGAGGATCTCCCATCATTTCTCTTACAAGAATTCCTTCAGTCATGAACTGAATAAAATCATTAATAAATTTAATAGTTATATCTTTTTATAAACACATTTTAAAAAATTTAGTTTTTCATTATCAATATCAAATACCTTTATTTTTGTTTCTTTTGGATTGTAGTTATCATTAAATCTAACACTATATCCAACTTCTTGACCTAAAATACCTCCATATTCTTCAGAAACTCTAGTAGCAAGCTGAAAAGAATCATATTGTTTTAAATTAATTAAATGCTGTTTTATAAAATTAGGCAATCAATTTATGTATTCTTGAAAATCATAAAATTTACATTAAATTTTGTAATATCTAGTATATTTTATGATTTAAAAAATGTTCTGGTAAACCTTCATATGTATTATATTGTTTTTACAATTTATTATTTATTTACCCTCTACATACAATTATTTTAAAAATTCCTATTGTTGAAAATTAGAAGTTACTCTTTTATTTTAAATGTTTTATTAATTTAATAGTTTTTAACTAATAAATTCTTATTTTGTCTTTTTTTTAATTTGTTTTTTATTTAAATTAAATCCTGTTCTTTATCTCAATACCTTTTAATAAACTGTTAGATAATTTATTAAAAGATGCTAGGATCTTTATAATTCTGTATATTTTAACATGTCTAATTCTGTATTAGCATCAGTGTAAAAGTATTCTGATGGATTTGTAATAGTTATCCATCTGCAGTTATTGTTTTATTGGTTCTAAAAATGGACATGTTGTGAATACAAATTAACAAATTTTATTCTAGAAATATTAATGTTAGAAAAGACTATATTACTGGCTATTTGGCTATTTCCAAGAGAAGAAGTTCCAAACAACACAATCTATGACATTCTCAAACATTTTTGACAATGGTGTTGTAATAGAATAGTTTTGGGTAGAAAAGCCAAAAAAATTATGAAGAAAGAGATGGTAGAATTGAGATATACATTTGAAAACAGTAATGATGTTTTTCAACATGTATTACTACTACAAAATTCAATGTATTGAAAAGTATGATTTACAAAGTGTTAACTACCAAGACAAACATCCACTATTATAAGAAGCAATCTATTTCAGACTGATCAGACAACCAGAAGCCTTTGAAATGAATGACATGATATAGAAGAGAAATATGGATGACTAATGAAAAAATTTTCCAAACATATATTCATATTGAACCAATGAACCATTTGTTACTACAGTAGAGCATCGATTATCCGACTCAATTGGGAACTCAGGTTGGTCGGATAACCGAAAAGAAGGGAAAAGATACATTATTAGTAGAGTATATTAGGATATTAGTATATCCCATGTAATTAGTTTATTAGTATATCACTATTAACCAACTTTGTGTTGAATTTTCATTGATGTTTAGCCTAACAAATTTTTTTAAAAATAATAATCGTCGCTATTGTATCATTAAAAATTATTTTTAAATTGTTTTATTGCTCACGAAACAAACAACCACTCATAATTAGAAAATTAAGTGTCGTTTAAATACTGCCCTCCCTTCAATGGTCGAGCCATTCATGCCAGCTAAAACAGGCAAAAATTTAACAAAAATAATATTAAAGTAGCCAAGACATAGCCAAATATTGTAATGCCACATCACTAGTGGGCATTTGAAATTTGCCAACTAGAATGGTCAGTTAACCGATGTGACAGTTAATCGGGGGTCGGATAATCGATGCTCTACTGTATTTCTCTATCTAGTATTTATGAGAATTATGGGTTTTACAGATCTGTTTTGTTCTGCTCCTTCTGATAATCAGGTTCAGCAAAAAAATAAATAAAATAAAATAAAATAAATAAATAAATTTGAATCTAAAACTTTAATCTAGATTGCCATTGGCTCAAAAGATCTCAGTCCACCTTTAATATGTGAATCTTATCTTGTCATAAATGGTGAATATACCTGGATAATTGCATAAAGCAAACTGATATCCTTTATCTGAGAAAACTACCCAGATGACAAATGTATTTTAGTCAAACCACACAAGCTGCAATATTCCAGAAAGGTACAAGATCATTTGAGAATTTTTAGTACTAACTCATTAATTTAATAAAAAAAATTGTTTTTAATAATTGCTAATAATAATAATCAGCAGAAAATTTTCTATTTTAGTGCTGTTTCAGATTTTAAAGTATACTGATTCTAAAAAATTAAAGTATTTGAAATATAATTTATAAAAATCTGGAGATGTTTTATAATTATAAAAATAAAAATTAGTACATTTTCAAATTTTTATAATTCAAATTAAACACTATACTACAGGTATACCTCGACTTACGTCGTTTCGAGTTACATCGTTCCCGATTATACGTCGTTTGTCAAAAAAGTATATGGAAAAATAAAAATCAAGTTTAAGTCATTTTATTCGACTTTACGTCTGTCCGCCACAAATATTGAAGTCGTAATATCACTAGAAAAATGTTTAAAGCACATAAAATCATATTAAAATATATACATTTACAAGTATGTACTGTATTTACAGTACTGTACATGCATTCGTAAATTTAGATTACTTTTTCTGTACTATATTAAAAACTAAAATTTATTTGTTTGTAAGCTTAAAATAGATCCTTACTAACCATATATTATTAAAAATGCATTAATAAATAAAATACAGAACCGGGAATGGTAATTTACGGTTTAGCCTAGTGACAAGTAGATTTGGAGACAAGTAAATTCGACTTACGTCGTTTTTCGACTTAAGTCGTTTTCCTGGAACCAATTACCGACGTAAGGCGAGGTATACCTGTATATATATATAAATATAATTTTAAATAAAAAATAATTACTGTTATTGCAGCAACTCTTCTTGGTTCAGTAATTCCAATTACCATGTCACTTGAACACCATCCAGCTTCTAATAAATACTAAGTTAAAAAAAATAAAATAAATTATATTATATTTCATACTTAAACATTTTCAAAATAATTTAACCTAATACTTTTACATTCAACTTTGAAAAATATACTTCACATGAATATGCAATACAGTATTTTAAAATTTTTATTAAAAATCATAATTACTGTAAAAGTGTTCCAAAATATTCAGTTATAATAAATCTTGTGATTCATTGAAACAAAGCTATTATCTATTTTCTTCCAATTAATATTTAGGAGTCTTTAAAATTTTGAATTTACATAACTAATGTTTATTTCTTAATGAAATTTTAAAAGTAATTCGTTCAAGACTGCATACTATAATATCATTTTTTTTTAAAGTAATGTTATCCATTCATATTTTAAATATAATAAAAGCATTATATTTCCTTGTGCTTTTTACCATTGGAAATATCTTACAGCGATCTTAAAAAAGTTTTTATAAGAAACATTATATAGTAATTTGATTAATTCAATTAATTTTAAAATATAACCTTCTTTTAAATGACTTCAAAAGACCATAAACATAAATATGCTTTAAAAAGAATAAAGTAATTTTTTATTTGGAATATCAAACTAGAGTCTTGTTTAGTTCAGAAATGCAGAAGAACATAAAACACATGAATATTTATCACATGTATGTAGAAGACAGGTCTACAGTGTGTGCAGTTTTTTTTATTCAATAATCAAAGATGTACAAATTATGTGTAAATAATATTTTAAGAGCCTAACTTTTGAAGTTTTTTATGTAATAATTTTATCAATGTGTAAAACTAATTTATTTTAGTTTGTTTATAGATCCTGCTAATAGTCCCAAATGGTAACAGTCAAAGAGAAATTCTGTATGCTTTGCCTTGCAGAATTAAAATTAACAACAGCTGTTAGAAGAAAATACACTATTCATTACAGTAAACATGTCATAATAAATAGTGTACTTCTAACAGTTTGGAATCACTAACAAGCTCTGTAAATAAAATAGAAAATTAGTTCTGTATTGATAAAAGTATTATGTAATAAACTTCAAAAGTTAGACTCTCAAATATTATTTACTGCATAGTTTTAACATTTGTACATCTTTAGTTAGTGAAGCACTAGATGATGCATGTGGCAATGCTCAGTTTAAGAGACCAGTAAGGCATGTTAAGAATATATTGAGTAATGAAAACAACAGTCATATTCTTCTTGCCCTTCATGTTTGGAATTATAATAAATGTTTGGCATTATTTTTGGTAAAACTAAAAATTTATTTCAACATATAAATACTAATGATAATTTAATTATATTATCTCTGCTATTATTAGTATATATATATACTAATAATTAAATTAGGTATCTACTATATATAATTAGTATACAGTATACCTAATTTATATATGTTGAATATTTGCTTTCATTGCAGTGTCAACAGATTTTGTTGTTGATTTTCTTTTGATTTTCTCTTAATACAACCAATTTTTTTTTATGTATGTTTATATGGATTTGTCCCATTATATTTTACAGAATATTTGCAAAAGTTAAAAAAATTTCTCTCAAATAATGAAAAAAGTAATTCTTAGTACAGAAATCTGTAACAAAACTGTTTAAATTGATATAATTCAAGAGACAGTAATTATATTCAAAGAAACATTGAAATTAAGATGGAAAATAATATTAGTAAAATTTTTACATACCAGTACTTTCAAAATATTCATGCATCATTAGGTTTTACATTAGAAGTGATAAAGTAAATTATTAGTCTGTATATATGAGCCATTCACAAGCCAAATCAATTATCTCCACATTTCAGATTTTTTAAACTTTAGTGTCAAAGCACTTGATATACTCATAACAAGTTTCCCTAATAAGGATCAATACCACTTAATGACAAAATTTTATTTATTTCAGAAGCCAATCTAATTAACTTCACACTGTAACATTAATCTGCCAGCACACACTGTGATTGAATGCTGCAGTGTGTGCTGACCAGTGCCTTACAGATAACAGTAAATTATTTAATGTTATCTCATCACAAAAAGTAAGCAAAAGAAATTAGTTAGTTACAGTCCAACTGCTGCAGAAGTAAATATACTTGTGGAATATTGAACAATTGTTTTAATTTTGGTGGCAATTGTTTTTAGAAAAAAGAAAAGTTATACTAGTTATATCAAGATGGGTGAAACTGAAAATAATTTTTTCATTCCTCCTATTAAACATGATTCTTATAAAAATTTAAGAACAAATTGACATGACGGGACCTCAAATACAGCTGACGAAGAAGACATCATTTATGTTGCTGAATTTAAAACAATAATAACAACCATTGTAACAGTAACAGAACAGTTATTATTTATTTTTGTGAAAAATATTTAATAAAAAATGTACAATAACAAAGTTTCTCTATAATAAAAAACTATGGGAACACTGAATTTGATTTTATTATGTTTTTCACTTGCCAAATCGATCAACTCCCTCAATCACACCAAAGTCGTAATAATAATGATTTTAGCACATCTATGCTATGCTATAATTGTTATTATTATGCATATATATTATACATTTTATATGTTGTTAAATAAAAGTTACATCTACAATAATACATTCTACAATGTTTATTTGAATTCATATTTTAAAAGGAATTTTAAAAATGAATGTATATTATTTTGTCACTTTTCTCCACTTTTATTTTATGGAGTTAATCGATTTGGCAAGTGAGCAGCACATATATTAAAAGCAAAATGTTCCATCCCCACCGAAAGAAGCAGTAGGTCACAACCAGGTTGCAGGTGGGGTCTACAATTCATCCTTCAAAAAGACCACCCATTAACTTCCTCTGTGGACTCAGCATGAATCTATGGAAAGCGTTAATTAACAAAAGAGAAGGAAGGTCTTTATGTAGGGATAGATGACACAAAAAAACTTCACTTTTGACTCAGACTTGGAGTTGAAGAGACAACTATTCATTTGCTCCCTTAGCAACTATTCTTTAAGTTTGATTTTTGAATAATAACTTTCGGTTACATACAGAATACAGATAAAAATAATATAAAAACTAAATCTATATAACAAATTTTATCTGTACACATACTAAAAGCAAAATGTTCTGTCACCATCACACATAAATAACATAAATTTAAAAACATTTTAATTTTCATTTGATTTGGTTTTAATTAGTTTTGATTTTATTTTTTGGTTTCAGTTTTGGCATAAAGGCCAAAATTTTAATTATTATTTTATTATTTTTAAATTTTATTATTACCTTTAGTTTTAGTTAATTTTTAGGTTTAATTTATTTAGTATTAATTTAGTTTTTATAATTATTTTTTTAATTAATTGCAACTCTCTTTTCTTTTGTGACATATATAAAATTGTTTTAACAGTGTTTTGCACAAAAGAAAATCAAACTTAAATTTATTTTAATTTTAGTTTTATAAATTTACCTGCTTTTTAAAAATGTTTTAAATTTAAATTTTAAGTGAGTTAACATTAATTGAACCATTGGGCTACCTAGTATTCAGATAAACGGATAGTAACTGACTAAATGACAATAACATCACTTAGTTGCATGTCATTATTCAGATTACATGCTCTTAATAACTGAATTATTTTATTAATTTATTATTTCCAAAATAAAAAATATTTAATGTGAAGTTAAATGTGTTGTGATGTTTTTGATGATGGATTGATCTGTAGGCAGTGATGTCATAGACTTGTTTTCTAAAATAAAATTTTTATAATAATTTGAAAGAAATATGCAAAGAACTTTTGCAAAATTTTCCTATAAAATACAATAAGACAGATTTGTAGGAAAGTATTATATATAAATTAAAAAAAAATAAATTTTTAAGAAAAGTAGAGAGAAAAAAAGACAAAAATCAACAACATTGTCAAATTTAAACTAAAAGTATTTACAAATACCTCATATAGAAACAATGTTAATGTTAAGACAATTCCACACAAAATTTCTCTTTTATTAATAAATATAAAATTGCACACAGATTTCAGAATCACCCTATATATTAACTAAAAAAATAACTAAATTTTATATGTAATTACAGGTATACTTTATATAATAAAGATAGTAAAGTATATTAAATAGATTTAAATATGATTCATCAATAAATATGATAACTGGTTTCAAAATATTCATTACCAACAGTATTACATACCTGAGGTATTTGAGTGCTTTTACCACATCCTGTTTCTCCTACTATTATCAAAGTCTGATAATTTTCCAAAAGATGTAAAATATGGTTTCTATTCTAAAAATAAAAAATATTTTGCCTTCAGTTTCAATATTTTATCTCAAAATTACATTATTACACAAGCATACACACACACAGATAGACACAGATACACAAATTTTTTTATATGATTTTGATTTAACAAGGTCTTTTTACACAGTTTATTTTTATCTAACATGTTTCAATAAATTTGCCTCTCTAAAAATTTTCATTTGATTTTAATTCTAAAAAACTATTCATATTTCTTTTCTAGAAATTTTCTCTATTAAAAAAAAATTCTTGTAATTTTCATTTAAGGCTGCTTTGCATACTCAAGTAAATTTTAGGATTTGTTGTTTTTTTTTATAACTTATTTGAATGTAGTCAATGGCAATCAGTTTTTCATTCTGTCTTTATCCTGTGACTGAAGCAGTCAGAAACCTCTTAATTTGACATTTGATGTTATGTTTGTATGGTTATGTTTCCTCTGATTTCTTTCAATAGTTTAGTGTTTGTTGAAGTTTGAAATAGTTTTGTATGCCATTTGGTGTTAAAAGCTAGTGATATTAGGATATTTAATTGAAATATTCAAATAAAAAATAAAATTAAAGTAAAATTTATGCAAATAATATAAATTTATTAAATTTTGCTGATAAGGAAGTTACAATGGTCCTCTGATTTAGTAACTAAAACTGAAATATTTTGTTTAAACAAATTTTGTTACATTTATTGGTTTATCAATTTATTTTTACAAGAACATGTAAAAACAGAATTATATATTTGAAGATGTATATATGAATTATGTAACTTATTAATAATAAAATATAAAAACTATATTAAATAAAAATATAGTTTTTAAATATTTAAAAAATTGTAATCTTTGACTGATTCTCTAAAAATCCTACTTAAGTATATTGCTTTATTTATAAATAAATATATTCATAAATATATATAGGTAAAAGAAAAACTGTAATGATATATTGTGTAATGAAGAAACTTAACTGTAAAAAAAAGTACTTAGCAATAACTATGTTGCCTGATATAACTATATTTGTTAAGCTGTTAGAGGTTAACAAATATAGGTTTCAGCATTTTTTTTCTTTCAAAGAAAACAAATTTACTTCTGCTTGCAGTTAATTTATATAAATCAAAATGTTTAGTCAAATATGAAGCAATATTGTAATTGATACCATAAAAGTTATCATAAGTGCAGAAGTGTCCAATTGCATGAATGAGGTTCAAGGAAAATTAAAGCAGTTCTGAGAAAGTTGGAATAGCCATAAAACTCAATTACCAAACATTCTTCATATCGTTCAGCAGAATTTTGAACATTTACAAACAGCACTTGCTCTCACTGCATGCATTTTTCAGACACTAAGTAAGAAATAGAAGATATTAAAAGTACAGTGATAAAACATGTATACAATACTAAGCTCATCACCAAATTTACCCATAGTGTGTAAAAGAACCCAAACAACAATACATAACTTATAACCCACAGACAAAAGCATCTTATTCTCAACTATGAACTTAGACTAAACAAAATTTATATCAGATTAATGTTAATGACTTAGCATAAACATAGCTCATAAATGAAACCCTACAATATTTAAATTAAAAACAAATGGAAAACATAATGAAAATGATAGGCATGCACCTAGGCTATATACAATACTGATGATCAATTCCAGATGCAACAAATAGCTACTGTATATTGGCTCTACTATTAGATCTTTAGCTACTAGAATAAAACATTGCCAAAGGTAATTATGTCACCACACTCATACAATATGCAAGTCTCCATGCTGGGGAGGCTAGACTGTAATGAAAAATATTTGATATTCAAACAATAAGAACCATGGAAGCTAATTGTAATCTGTAAAGCTACATTCAAAGGCATTTCTATCTATACTAATATTATAAAGAGGTAACGTTTGTATGCAGCAGGTAATCTCCGAAACTACTCATCCGATTTCAAAAATTCTTTCACCAATATTTAGAATGGAACTTCAGGGTGGACATAGGCTGTATATTATTCCGTTAAACATGGGAGATGGACAGTTCTTTACAGTAAGCCTTAGGAGAAGGCTTACCGTAAAAAACTCTGCTTCTATTTATACTATTTTAGATGCAGTTTTTTGCGTTTTAATAGAGTATGTCAACAGAATGTACACTAAGAAGGGATTTTTCAATATTTCCCCCGCAGGGGAGAGAGACAGGATTAAGGCTTACTATGAAGAACTTGGCTTCTATTATACTATTTTAGATGCGGGTTTTTGCGTTTTTGATTGTGTTTTAATAGGGTACGTCAACAGAATGTACACTAAGAAGGGATTTTTCGAAAAATTTTCCCCCACGGGGGAAGTGTTATACATTTATAATAGATACATTTTGAGCCACAACAAGGCGTGGCGGGGTCTGCTAGTCAATAATAAAGAAAGTATTAATTTATCACAAGCTTAACAATCAATGCTCTGTAACTTTCCTTAAAATGGAATATAATTGACAAATTTTAAGGGTCTTGTGAATTTTGTCATCTTATCATTGTATTCATGTGTTTATGTACCAATTATATATTTAATATTAGTTGTCATTTTAGATAATTTCATATAAAAGCTACAATAGAACATTTTGTTTTGGAATATAAAGAATCTCATATGATTTTCAAACAGCTTAATAACCTGAAGCAGGCACCTTAAAAGTAGCTGAAAATGTTTTTTTTTTCCAATTAAAATGTGCTGGAATATTTTCTGTATGTATGGTGTGTTGTGTTGTTTACTCTGAATAGTTCCATCTTTTGGAGGATATAATTTATATTATTTGATTTAAATTTTCTAAACTACATAATATTGGTTTGTAAATTGTTTTATTTTTTGTGTTAGTGTGCAGATAATTTTCAGAAAAATTTTGTGTATGTATGTTGTGGGGAAAAGGATCCTGAAAGTATTCTGCATACCTGAAAGTTATATCAGAGATAGTCAACATTTGTATTTAGTACTATAACAAATTTTTCAAATATTTGAATATTTGTAACAACAATCTTAAATTTTTTCCTTCAGCATTTTTAAACATCACTACACTTGCACTGCAGTGGCTAGTGTAAAATGGAAATTGTCTAATTGTTTTTTAACAAAGCTACTGTAAGCAGCTTTACCAAGCAATTCAATTGTGATAATGCATAATATAATGTGGCATATTGTAGTAATGCATAGTAAAAAATTACCCTAACCCACTTTTATTTGAAAAATAATTGATCTTACTTTAAATATAGGCAATCTTTGTCTTTGCTTCTGAATTGATAACGACGAATGTGGATTATAAACAAAATTAGTCCTTTCTGTTTCACCTTCTTCAGGTCGATCAGTACTTTGATCACCCGTTTCGAATCCTTCATTTAATTTTTAAAATAAATATTCATTAAAGGGTTCATTAAATATATAAAAATATTTAACAATTTAAAAAAAAATAATCATTGTTCATAAATTTCAAACCTGGTTTCCAAAATCTATGTCTGTTCGACATATTTATTAGATAAAATCGTGAAAAATAACAATAATGAGTGAAATTACACTAAAACCAAAGCACAATGTATTTCTCAATGGGCGCCGCCATCTTAAATCGGATATGACGATGACGTCATTCTGCCGGAAATCTAATCTGTGCCATCTATTATCAGTTAGTAGGTGAGGGAAGACTGGGAGATGGTGGAAGTGCTGCATGTCTTCGTATGTTTAGAGATGAAAGTAAGTTAGTAATGTTACATAAAGGCAATATAATGTGTTAATAAAGCGTAATGCTTAATATTTAAGCACTTGTAAGCGGTGCAAGTGGTATTTTGTAGACATTAAATGTTTAAGTGTATTTTAGTTGTAAAATGTGGATAAATTCGTATTGTATGCTTTTTATATCACGAGAAAACAAAATACTAAGTTATAAACAACAAATACCCAACATTTTATTCAAAAAATTTTGAAATTGATGATTTTTAAGATATTTACATAATTACCTTGCAAAAGCTTGATTCAGTTCAAGAAAGTTATTTATATTGTTAAAAACAATGAATTGCATGTTTATATGACATTGCTGTTGATTATATACATATAATTTAATCATTAAACTATTTATTTATTTGTAAGCAAAATTATTGCATCAGGTATATAAACACAATGTTTGTTCTGTTCTTTTCTTTTTTTTATTTCCTGATAATATATGAAACATCCAATTGATATAAAATTCAAATTTGTTGTCAAATAAAGATAAAAATCTGTGGTAGAAATTGCTTGCATTAAATTCTTTTCTGTGCTTTTGTAAATTGGGTGTTTAATATTTTACATATGCTTTACTATTGGCAATTCAAGAAGACCATCATTCTAAATTTAATATTTCATCCGTTTACCTATCTGTTTTGGCTCTTCTAGTTGAAAAAGTATGTGCGTACTCAGTAATGTAGACTTGCAATATAAAAAAAAAAAGAAAAAATTACTATGCAAGAATTGTTTCTGTTTACTTGATTCTTTAATAATATATAACAGTTTGTATAATTCACAGATCCTTGAGCAGTATGAGTTAATTCAGTGGAGAATTACATTAATTAAACTTTGAGACCTACATTAGTTAAAGATTTACATTAATTATAATTCACAGTTTAACCTAAACTATATTTTATATTATTGCAGAATAAATTTTTTCCAATTAAATTTTGTTTTACATTTTTGTCACAATTTTCATAAAAATTTGGCAACCATAATTAGTGTTTGTGCATTGTTAAATTTCTAATACATGAGCTCAAATTTTAATTGTATTTATTGTAAAGTTGTATTTGTGTAAAACATATTTGAAAAAATAATTTATACAGCTTGAAATTAGCCATCTGTTTTCATGAACTTTATTGTAATAATATAGTATATATTTATATTATATTTTTAATTAAAATTGTAATTTCTAATAATCAAAATTTATCAATTTTGAAAAAACTTTACTTTCATTTTCAAGTAAAGAAGAAAGTTCATAAATTAATTAATACATAAGCATAAACATCAGATTGTATATCTTATAAAACAAAAAATCATAGACTGAAGATTATCATTTGCAAATCTTGGAAGTAAAAATATTTAAATTTGCAAAAAATATATTTACTAAATTATTTTTTATTAATCTTTAAAAATTTAATTATTATTGTATTTGCAAATCTGCTATTGAAATATTGCATAAATAACAAAGATATTAATTTCTTAAAATAGTAAGACCATTCTCTTGAAACATTATTTAGTATAACAATAAATTGCATGTTGTTTTGGTTGAATGGTTTTGCTATTTTAAGATAGTATTTTGTTGTTTGTGCAATATCATTTCATGTACAGTACATAAGTTACCAGTTGCTTATTACATATTAGTAAAATTTATTTCAATCGTAATTAAATTAAAATTATTTGTTAATTAATTAAATCATTTTTACTATTTTGTTTTTGTCTTCATATTAAAATAAAAATTATTTTTTAATGTATATCTTTATGATAATTTAAAATATATACAATTTTCAGATCAAGTATTTTCAGGAATATTTACAGATTTACAGAATTTCTGAAAATAGAACAACTAAAAATGTTTGGAGGTTCTATTTTTAGAATTTTGTAAATAGTTGTGTGTTGTCAATATTAAACAATTGTGCTTAGTATTGGCACCACATTGTGTTATTTTTATGTTTTCCAAATAAAAATTTAAAATAGTAAAAAAATCCTTGTATAATTAATCATATTCAATAGACTTTATTATTCATATGTCAGTGCAAAAGTTAGCAATAAGATTAATTTTTTTCAAAATTTAGAGTATCAATTGTGACCATAATGTTAATTATTAAAGCAAATATTAATCTAGTAATTTATTCTATGTATAAATTTTCATATGAAAATGCATCTCTACTTTTATCTCTCAATACTTGAAGATGGTCCATTAACTGGGTTGAAAAATTAGTATTTCTTCAATGTCACTAACTATTAAAAATGTATTAATTAAGTCAGTAGATTAACTACAGTGGTTAGTTTATCCTTTTCAGACTAGTAAGACAATGCAGTCAAACCAATATGGCTATAAATCATGTTTATTTTCAAAACAAAAATTTATTNTAATGAAAATAGCATTCTCTGTAGGTAACCATATTTCATTTGCTTAATAAATTACATTACAAGGTAGTTACATGGCATTTGGCATATTGTATAGAGATAATTTGAAGTAGCAATTACTTAGTCTATTCAATTTCAAAGTAACGAGGATCTCCTGTATATAAATTTAAAATTTCATTTTTGAATAATAATACAACATATAATGTGGAATTTATGTTAAATATAATTGTAAAAATTGAATTTATATTATTGGGACATTGCAATTTTAATCATCATTTAATTTTAAAAAATCATGTGACTTCTGGTTTAGACTGAAAGTTTGTTTATAATTAATTAGGGCCTCCTGCCTTAAGCTTTCCATATGTGGTCTTGATTGTCATCTATCTAATGGAGTTAGATGAAAATAAAGACCAAATATGGAATAGTGTTATAAAAATATGAATTAAACTATTGTATAAGAGAATGAATCTGCAATATTTCAGCTTGTATATTGCATAACATAACATGAACTAGTATATAAGAGATTCTATGTAGAAGTTTCAGCAATGTAGAATGTTGAATATTGATACTGAAGGTTAAACCTATAAAGATTGTTTTCTTTATTTTTGGAAACTTTACTGTCAAGAAATAAGGAAAAGTATATATATGAAAGTATTTTATATTTTGAATCTACATGAGTATACTCAACAATAAAAAAGAAGAAAGATTCACACTTCTAGCATTAACAATATGCCTTTGAAATCAGCATCATTGATAATACTTCAATGTTTCATTCACAGGTAAAATCATCTGGTCTAGGAAAGAAAGTTTTCTGATCCCAAATAATTTTAGTAAAACTTGCAGTTATCTAGGATAATTCAATTATTTAATAAAAATAAGTATTTTCAGTGGATCTGGTATCACTTTTATATCTATTTTTTATTGAAATGAAATTGCCATATAATAGTAATACTGTATTGCCATGTAGATCTGTTTTGAGTCATGTCTTGAGTCATCAACATATTTCTTTTTAAATCTGTTCTTTCAAACCTGGAAATTTACATCATATTAATCATAACTGGTATGGAGCATATACTATTTCTAGTAGGAGTGCTAGTTTGATTTTGATATAGGATGGTTTCTATTTTTTTCCTTAGATACTATTCTGAATTTTTAAAAAATAGTATAAGCTGAAAAGCTGTAGAATAATCAAAATATTTCATCAAAACTTGCAAAATTACCCATTAATTTTTATGGCATATGAAATATCAATATTAATAATGTGCAAGATCAAAAATTAAGGATTATTTATATCAGTTATTGTTCAGTAACTTTGTTTAATGGACTGAAGGTAAATGTTATTTCTGCACATATTTAGGGACTCAAAGCAATGTTTGTTTTGCTTATAACAAATACATATTTTTCTGTCATTCATTAATGTTAATTTTAATCAGTTGCAATCTTTGCTAATGTATATTGCACATACTGTACAGTTTTCATCAAAAGTTTTAATTTTTTTTTTAATATTTGAATTTATGTATAAATGTTTAAAGATCAATGAGAGAAACATATATGTATATTATTCTTCTTATACTAAGTAACTTAAGTCTTTTAAAATATAAAAGCAAAGGATTTGTTTGAATATATTGAGTATTTGCTGTATTTTTAGTGAGAAGCAAGACAAATATAGCAATTCAAAAGAATGTAAAACTTATTTTATAGTGAAGCATTTTATTTTTGTGAATTGCAATACTTTATCATGTTCTTTTAAAGTTTTGTTGTATTTTTCCTGTTTAACTAGAAAAGTTTTCTGCATCATGAAAGCAGTTTTTAACTTTTATATTAGAAATATAAAACTAAATGAATACTATTGCACTTTTATAATGTTGTAATCTTATTATTATTATGACAATGGTAATAAGAGAATGTGTACTACTAATATAACAGTAACAGGGTATTCTCAAGTAATTGAAGATTTTTGATAAATGATGATCTGTTGTTTTTGATAAGTTAATTTGATAATTGGTAACAATCTACTACTTTATATCATATGTACAGTACTTTTTTAAAGAAGTAAAAAAATATATACATTAAATTTAAAAGAAGAAAACAAATGAATATATATTGCATAAATTTTAAAGATTTCAAATGAATTCTAAATTTCTGTTTGTTAATATTTTGATATCATTCTTATCTCATTAAGAGACATTTTACATATAAAAAAANGTGAAAAATAACAATAATAAGTGAAATTACACTAAAACCAAAGCACAATGTATTTCTCAATGGGCGCCGCCATCTTAAATCGGATATGACGATGACGTCATTCTGCCGGAAATCTAATCTGTGCCATCTATTATCAGTTAGTAGGTGAGGGAAGACTGGGTGTAATTACAGGTATACTTTATATAATAAAGATAGTAAAGTATATTAAATAGATTTAAATATGATTCATCAATAAATATGATAACTGGTTTCAAAATATTCATTACCAACAGTATTACATACCTGAGGTATTTGAGTGCTTTTACCACATCCTGTTTCTCCTACTATTATCAAAGTCTGATAATTTTCCAAAAGATGTAAAATATGGTTTCTATTCTAAAAATAAAAAATATTTTGCCTTCAGTTTCAATATTTTATCTCAAAATTACATTATTACACAAGCATACACACACACAGATAGACACAGATACACAAATTTTTTTATATGATTTTGATTTAACAAGGTCTTTTTACACAGTTTATTTTTATCTAACATGTTTCAATAAATTTGCCTCTCTAAAAATTTTCATTTGATTTTAATTCTAAAAAACTATTCATATTTCTTTTCTAGAAATTTTCTCTATTAAAAAAAAATTCTTGTAATTTTCATTTAAGGCTGCTTTGCATACTCAAGTAAATTTTAGGATTTGTTGTTTTTTTTTATAACTTATTTGAATGTAGTCAATGGCAATCAGTTTTTCATTCTGTCTTTATCCTGTGACTGAAGCAGTCAGAAACCTCTTAATTTGACATTTGATGTTATGTTTGTATGGTTATGTTTCCTCTGATTTCTTTCAATAGTTTAGTGTTTGTTGAAGTTTGAAATAGTTTTGTATGCCATTTGGTGTTAAAAGCTAGTGATATTAGGATATTTAATTGAAATATTCAAATAAAAAATAAAATTAAAGTAAAATTTATGCAAATAATATAAATTTATTAAATTTTGCTGATAAGGAAGTTACAATGGTCCTCTGATTTAGTAACTAAAACTGAAATATTTTGTTTAAACAAATTTTGTTACATTTATTGGTTTATCAATTTATTTTTACAAGAACATGTAAAAACAGAATTATATATTTGAAGATGTATATATGAATTATGTAACTTATTAATAATAAAATATAAAAACTATATTAAATAAAAATATAGTTTTTAAATATTTAAAAAATTGTAATCTTTGACTGATTCTCTAAAAATCCTACTTAAGTATATTGCTTTATTTATAAATAAATATATTCATAAATATATATAGGTAAAAGAAAAACTGTAATGATATATTGTGTAATGAAGAAACTTAACTGTAAAAAAAAGTACTTAGCAATAACTATGTTGCCTGATATAACTATATTTGTTAAGCTGTTAGAGGTTAACAAATATAGGTTTCAGCATTTTTTTTCTTTCAAAGAAAACAAATTTACTTCTGCTTGCAGTTAATTTATATAAATCAAAATGTTTAGTCAAATATGAAGCAATATTGTAATTGATACCATAAAAGTTATCATAAGTGCAGAAGTGTCCAATTGCATGAATGAGGTTCAAGGAAAATTAAAGCAGTTCTGAGAAAGTTGGAATAGCCATAAAACTCAATTACCAAACATTCTTCATATCGTTCAGCAGAATTTTGAACATTTACAAACAGCACTTGCTCTCACTGCATGCATTTTTCAGACACTAAGTAAGAAATAGAAGATATTAAAAGTACAGTGATAAAACATGTATACAATACTAAGCTCATCACCAAATTTACCCATAGTGTGTAAAAGAACCCAAACAACAATACATAACTTATAACCCACAGACAAAAGCATCTTATTCTCAACTATGAACTTAGACTAAACAAAATTTATATCAGATTAATGTTAATGACTTAGCATAAACATAGCTCATAAGTGAAACCCTACAATATTTAAATTAAAAACAAATGGAAAACATAATGAAAATGATAGGCATGCACCTAGGCTATATACAATACTGATGATCAATTCCAGATGCAACAAATAGCTACTGTATATTGGCTCTACTATTAGATCTTTAGCTACTAGAATAAAACATTGCCAAAGGTAATTATGTCACCACACTCATACAATATGCAAGTCTCCATGCTGGGGAGGCTAGACTGTAATGAAAAATATTTGATATTCAAACAATAAGAACCATGGAAGCTAATTGTAATCTGTAAAGCTACATTCAAAGGCATTTCTATCTATACTAATATTATAAAGAGGTAACGTTTGTATGCAGCAGGTAATCTCCGAAACTACTCATCCGATTTCAAAAATTCTTTCACCAATATTTAGAATGGAACTTCAAGGGGAACATAAGCTGTATATTATTCCGTTAAACATGGGAGATGGACAGTTCTTTACAGTAAGCCTTAGGAGAAGGCTTACCGTAAAAAACTCTGCTTCTATTTATACTATTTTAGATGCAGTTTTTTGCGTTTTAATAGAGTATGTCAACAGAATGTACACTAAGAAGGGATTTTTCAATATTTCCCCCGCAGGGGAGAGAGACAGGATTAAGGCTTACTATGAAGAACTTGGCTTCTATTATACTATTTTAGATGCGGGTTTTTGCGTTTTTGATTGTGTTTTAATAGGGTACGTCAACAGAATGTACACTAAGAAGGGATTTTTCGAAAAATTTTCCCCCACGGGGGAAGTGTTATACATTTATAATAGATACATTTTGAGCCACAACAAGGCGTGGCGGGGTCTGCTAGTCAATAATAAAGAAAGTATTAATTTATCACAAGCTTAACAATCAATGCTCTGTAACTTTCCTTAAAATGGAATATAATTGACAAATTTTAAGGGTCTTGTGAATTTTGTCATCTTATCATTGTATTCATGTGTTTATGTACCAATTATATATTTAATATTAGTTGTCATTTTAGATAATTTCATATAAAAGCTACAATAGAACATTTTGTTTTGGAATATAAAGAATCTCATATGATTTTCAAACAGCTTAATAACCTGAAGCAGGCACCTTAAAAGTAGCTGAAAATGTTTTTTTTTTCCAATTAAAATGTGCTGGAATATTTTCTGTATGTATGGTGTGTTGTGTTGTTTACTCTGAATAGTTCCATCTTTTGGAGGATATAATTTATATTATTTGATTTAAATTTTCTAAACTACATAATATTGGTTTGTAAATTGTTTTATTTTTTGTGTTAGTGTGCAGATAATTTTCAGAAAAATTTTGTGTATGTATGTTGTGGGGAAAAGGATCCTGAAAGTATTCTGCATACCTGAAAGTTATATCAGAGATAGTCAACATTTGTATTTAGTACTATAACAAATTTTTCAAATATTTGAATATTTGTAACAACAATCTTAAATTTTTTCCTTCAGCATTTTTAAACATCACTACACTTGCACTGCAGTGGCTAGTGTAAAATGGAAATTGTCTAATTGTTTTTTAACAAAGCTACTGTAAGCAGCTTTACCAAGCAATTCAATTGTGATAATGCATAATATAATGTGGCATATTGTAGTAATGCATAGTAAAAAATTACCCTAACCCACTTTTATTTGAAAAATAATTGATCTTACTTTAAATATAGGCAATCTTTGTCTTTGCTTCTGAATTGATAACGACGAATGTGGATTATAAACAAAATTAGTCCTTTCTGTTTCACCTTCTTCAGGTCGATCAGTACTTTGATCACCCGTTTCGAATCCTTCATTTAATTTTTAAAATAAATATTCATTAAAGGGTTCATTAAATATATAAAAATATTTAACAATTTAAAAAAAAATAATCATTGTTCATAAATTTCAAACCTGGTTTCCAAAATCTATGTCTGTTCGACATATTTATTAGATAAAATCGTGAAAAATAACAATAATGAGTGAAATTACACTAAAACCAAAGCACAATGTATTTCTCAATGGGCGCCGCCATCTTAAATCGGATATGACGATGACGTCATTCTGCCGGAAATCTAATCTGTGCCATCTATTATCAGTTAGTAGGTGAGGGAAGACTGGGAGATGGTGGAAGTGCTGCATGTCTTCGTATGTTTAGAGATGAAAGTAAGTTAGTAATGTTACATAAAGGCAATATAATGTGTTAATAAAGCGTAATGCTTAATATTTAAGCACTTGTAAGCGGTGCAAGTGGTATTTTGTAGACATTAAATGTTTAAGTGTATTTTAGTTGTAAAATGTGGATAAATTCGTATTGTATGCTTTTTATATCACGAGAAAACAAAATACTAAGTTATAAACAACAAATACCCAACATTTTATTCAAAAAATTTTGAAATTGATGATTTTTAAGATATTTACATAATTACCTTGCAAAAGCTTGATTCAGTTCAAGAAAGTTATTTATATTGTTAAAAACAATGAATTGCATGTTTATATGACATTGCTGTTGATTATATACATATAATTTAATCATTAAACTATTTATTTATTTGTAAGCAAAATTATTGCATCAGGTATATAAACACAATGTTTGTTCTGTTCTTTTCTTTTTTTTATTTCCTGATAATATATGAAACATCCAATTGATATAAAATTCAAATTTGTTGTCAAATAAAGATAAAAATCTGTGGTAGAAATTGCTTGCATTAAATTCTTTTCTGTGCTTTTGTAAATTGGGTGTTTAATATTTTACATATGCTTTACTATTGGCAATTCAAGAAGACCATCATTCTAAATTTAATATTTCATCCGTTTACCTATCTGTTTTGGCTCTTCTAGTTGAAAAAGTATGTGCGTACTCAGTAATGTAGACTTGCAATATAAAAAAAAAAAGAAAAAATTACTATGCAAGAATTGTTTCTGTTTACTTGATTCTTTAATAATATATAACAGTTTGTATAATTCACAGATCCTTGAGCAGTATGAGTTAATTCAGTGGAGAATTACATTAATTAAACTTTGAGACCTACATTAGTTAAAGATTTACATTAATTATAATTCACAGTTTAACCTAAACTATATTTTATATTATTGCAGAATAAATTTTTTCCAATTAAATTTTGTTTTACATTTTTGTCACAATTTTCATAAAAATTTGGCAACCATAATTAGTGTTTGTGCATTGTTAAATTTCTAATACATGAGCTCAAATTTTAATTGTATTTATTGTAAAGTTGTATTTGTGTAAAACATATTTGAAAAAATAATTTATACAGCTTGAAATTAGCCATCTGTTTTCATGAACTTTATTGTAATAATATAGTATATATTTATATTATATTTTTAATTAAAATTGTAATTTCTAATAATCAAAATTTATCAATTTTGAAAAAACTTTACTTTCATTTTCAAGTAAAGAAGAAAGTTCATAAATTAATTAATACATAAGCATAAACATCAGATTGTATATCTTATAAAACAAAAAATCATAGACTGAAGATTATCATTTGCAAATCTTGGAAGTAAAAATATTTAAATTTGCAAAAAATATATTTACTAAATTATTTTTTATTAATCTTTAAAAATTTAATTATTATTGTATTTGCAAATCTGCTATTGAAATATTGCATAAATAACAAAGATATTAATTTCTTAAAATAGTAAGACCATTCTCTTGAAACATTATTTAGTATAACAATAAATTGCATGTTGTTTTGGTTGAATGGTTTTGCTATTTTAAGATAGTATTTTGTTGTTTGTGCAATATCATTTCATGTACAGTACATAAGTTACCAGTTGCTTATTACATATTAGTAAAAGTTATTTCAATCGTAATTAAATTAAAATTATTTGTTAATTAATTAAATCATTTTTACTATTTTGTTTTTGTCTTCATATTAAAATAAAAATTATTTTTTAATGTATATCTTTATGATAATTTAAAATATATACAATTTTCAGATCAAGTATTTTCAGGAATATTTACAGATTTACAGAATTTCTGAAAATAGAACAACTAAAAATGTTTGGAGGTTCTATTTTTAGAATTTTGTAAATAGTTGTGTGTTGTCAATATTAAACAATTGTGCTTAGTATTGGCACCACATTGTGTTATTTTTATGTTTTCCAAATAAAAATTTAAAATAGTAAAAAAATCCTTGTATAATTAATCATATTCAATAGACTTTATTATTCATATGTCAGTGCAAAAGTTAGCAATAAGATTAATTTTTTTCAAAATTTAGAGTATCAATTGTGACCATAATGTTAATTATTAAAGCAAATATTAATCTAGTAATTTATTCTATGTATAAATTTTCATATGAAAATGCATCTCTACTTTTATCTCTCAATACTTGAAGATGGTCCATTAACTGGGTTGAAAAATTAGTATTTCTTCAATGTCACTAACTATTAAAAATGTATTAATTAAGTCAGTAGATTAACTACAGTGGTTAGTTTATCCTTTTCAGACTAGTAAGACAATGCAGTCAAACCAATATGGCTATAAATCATGTTTATTTTCAAAACAAAAATTTATTAAAATATAAAAAATAAATAAACTGCATGTAACTATCTTGTATCATTTTAATTTTACTTGAGAAAGTAAACAAAGATCTTTAACTGAAAATAGGTAGAAAGCTAATAGTACTTGGAAGATTTTTCAAATTTTATGTTATGAGTAAATTTAATATTTATTGAAACATTTCTATTTCTTATAAATTAATATTAAATTTTTAAATACTGTATACAAATACATTAAATAATAACAATTCATTTCAATTAAATTTTCAAATAAATTTTAAAGTAAAAGTATTTTGAAATTTGTTTTAAAAGTGCTTTAATAAATTATTAAATTTTTGAAGGAATGTTACTCAATTTAAATATTTATTTATAATTTGTTTGCATCTTTTATGTTTTAATAATCCTTCTTATTAGTTGAAATATTATCATACATAATAAAAAAAACTTTGGTTTGTAAGAAAAATTATATCAATATTTTATATTAATTTTTCAATAATAATTTTATTCATATTTGACACATTTCATTTCTTAGATGGAAAAAACTATTTTATTTAAAATAATAAATTGATATTTTTTATAAATATTTTGATAGTTATGGCTTGAATATATTGAGTATTTGCTGTATTTTTAGTGAGAAGCAAGACAAATATAGCAATTCAAAAGAATGTAAAACTTATTTTATAGTGAAGCATTTTATTTTTGTGAATTGCAATACTTTATCATGTTCTTTTAAAGTTTTGTTGTATTTTTCCTGTTTAACTAGAAAAGTTTTCCGCATCATGAAAGCAGTTTTTAACTTTTATATTAGAAATATAAAACTAAATGAATACTATTGCACTTTTATAATGTTGTAATCTTATTATTATTATGACAATGGTAATAAGAGAATGTGTACTACTAATATAACAGTAACAGGGTATTCTCAAGTAATTGAAGATTTTTGATAAATGATGATCTGTTGTTTTTGATAAGTTAATTTGATAATTGGTAACAATCTACTACTTTATATCATAGGTACAGTACTTTTTTAAAGAAGTAAAAAAATATATACATTAAATTTAAAAGAAGAAAACAAATGAATATATATTGCATAAATTTTAAAGATTTCAAATGAATTCTAAATTTCTGTTTGTTAATATTTTGATATCATTCTTATCTCATTAAGAGACATTTTACATATAAAAAAAATACAAAAATATATCAATTATTTAACTGAAACACAAAACTTGTTTTAAATTTCAAAATTACAACAATATCTAATAGAAAAAACTATTTAATTATAGTAATTAAACATGCAAAGTCATTCTGTTATTTTTTAAAAAAGTTTAAAAGCAGCAAATGTTTTAATCTTTTAATGTATTATCTATTTTGATTTTCATTACCTAGTTTGAATTCTGTTTGTATTGTTATTAGTCCTATCCTTACTATTTCATTCATTAATCTTTTTATATAATTGATATAAGTGTAATAAAACAATAAGTATAATTTAAGTAGCTATTTCATTATATATCAAAAATTAATTAATTTAAAATTAATGAAAATTAAATTATTGAATATTTTTTAATGGTGGTGATAAATAATATATAAATTTTGTATTTTCTTATACTTTCTCAATATATATTTTTTTCATAAAAGATTTATATATTTAGGTTTTTATATTTAAGTATTTTCTTTTTCTATAGATTGCTTTATTTGTGATAAAAATTTCAATTTAAACCAAATACAGTATTTTGACTTCATTGTCCATTTAAGATTTTAATACAGTACAGATATTGAATAGTAAAATTTTCTGTAACATCTAAATATAAGATATCCTTGTTAATTCAGACTCAGATAGTTCGAAATCCTGTTAGTTTGTAACTGCACTTTTGTAATCTGGTCATTATGGCTTTGCTTTTATAGTAACACATATTTGAGTGTCTCCTTATCCTTGGACTACCTTGTTTTTCTCTTATCTCATAAAATATGGCTGGTTTGCAAATATGGTTAGGATTGCAAGATTGGGCTACAAGTAATAGATTGAGATATTTGAAGGCCTCTAAGCTACTACATTTGGGTGACTTACTACTTTTTAAGCCACTTTAAAAATAATTTGGACTACATTTTGAGGAATTCTGCTTTACTTTTTATAAAAGTTATCTAGTAACCTGTGAGGTTCTCATTGGACATGTGCTGTTTACCTGCATTCTATTTATATTATTATTATTAGTTAATGAAAATAGCATTCTCTGTAGGTAACCATATTTCATTTGCTTAATAAATTACATTACAAGGTAGTTACATGGCATTTGGCATATTGTATAGAGATAATTTGAAGTAGCAATTACTTAGTCTATTCAATTTCAAAGTAACGAGGATCTCCTGTATATAAATTTAAAATTTCATTTTTGAATAATAATACAACATATAATGTGGAATTTATGTTAAATATAATTGTAAAAATTGAATTTATATTATTGGGACATTGCAATTTTAATCATCATTTAATTTTAAAAAATCATGTGAC